GCCACTGTGCCTCCGTAGGATTTGCTGTTCTGAGCGCGAGGATTTCTTGTTGGCCATCAGTTATGAATTTGCTTTCATGCTTGCAAGTGAGTGATGGGGATTAACACCCCTCTGCCCTCCAAAGGCAGAGGGAGGACGAGTGGGGGTCAAGATGAGATTGACTTTCGTGGTGTCCCCTCTCTCACTGCCAAGTCCCACTAGAGGCCCCTTGTTGACTTCAGTGGATTTTGGATCAAGCCCTCGAACATTAATAATAATGACTCATAAATCATTGCTTGCACCACCTGTTTGTCATGTTTCCTCCCACAATAACTGTATCAAGTGTTTTTATAAGCTGAGCTGGCGCGGGTTGTTTGTCACATCTGGACAGCATCGTGGGAGTGCAGATCTGGCCGAGCCACAGTGTGTGGTTTTTCCTGGCTGGGAGGGAGAAAGCCACACAAATTCCTTCTGCATGGGGTTGAGTGGTTCTCCTGGGGTAGCACGTTGGGTCTGGATGGGTCCTGGGAGCCTGTTTGCAGTGGGAGGGCTTGGGCACGGTGCGAGCAGCAGAAAAAGGATCTTGGGTATCCCAAATGTGTGGGGACGGTGCATCAGGAAGCATTGAAGCATTGGAAGATCAGGGTTGCAGCTGCCCCATTATCCTCCAAATCGCTATGGAAGTGTCACCCACCCCGTGGGCTTTCATGCTGAAAGTTTACAGACGCTTTCTTGGTCAGCGGGGCTGGGTGCAGGGGCTGCCTCCCCATTTTCCCCCTTTCCCTGCAGCCAAAGCCCGAGAACGCCATCACCATTGCGGTGTCATCGCGAGCACTTTTCCGCATGGAGGAGGAGCAGAAGATTTACAACGAGCAAGGGGTGGAGGCCTATGTGAAATACCAACTGGACCATGAGAACGAACCCTTCCTCCCCGGGGCTGCCTTCCCCTTTGTCAAGGTGAGCATCTGCCCACCTAAGCTGGATCTGCGCTGTGGTCCTGGCCCGAAAGCTTTGGGGAGAGGGGAGTGCTAAGGAGTGCTTGCATGGGGAGGGATGGGAAAGGAGCTGTGTGGTGGAAGGGATATAGCCACAGAGCAAACAGAGGTCAAATAAACCTCCTGGCAAGTGATGAGCTTCTTCCAGGACTGAGGAAAAGCTGAATTTTCCAAATTGGCAACTGAGCCTAAGAATTGAAGAAATCATCTCATTGGATCATATTTAAAATTTCTCTTTAGAGAATTCTCTTCTTTTTTTTTTTTAATTACAATTTATTTATTCTTTTAAATTGACTGAATTTAGCCTTGCTGCGGAGTCGGCCAATTTCTAATGTTGACATGTTGAAATGAAGCACTTCAAACTTCAAAAATATTTTCCAATTTCTGCCTCGGTTCCACTGGATTTAGTGCAGTTTTGTCTGCTGGCCCTCACTGAAGCAATCTCTTGCCTGTTCCCAATGAATAAACTAATCCACTTGGAGAGGAGAGACTTGTTCCATTCCTGATTGCTTGAAAAACACTTATCTGTAACTTTGAGCTAATTTATTCTCATCTCCTAAGAAAAAATTGAAACCTTTTGTGTTTGAAAATAGAAGAGTTAGCTATGTGTTTTTTCCCTGCAAATCAGTCTCTTTTTCCCAGCTAAAGCTGCTTGCTGATGTCAGCTTGGCTCAGGGTGTAGTTGGGGTTGGGCCAGATCCCTGGTTTTGGTGAACAGAAGTGTTTTGCTCAGTGAAAAGGGGGTGATGGCCATGCCGGGGGCTTGCTGACACCCCACCACCACCCTCGGGTGCTGCAGGCACTGGAAGCGGTGAACGCACAGCTGCGTGAGCTCTACCCCGACAGCGAGGAGCTCTTCGACATTGTCCTCATGACCAACAACCATGCCCAGGTTGGGGTTCGCTTGATCAACAGCATCAACCACTATGGTAAGCTCAGAGCAAAGCTGTCCTTTGCACGGGTGCTGCCAGCTTTTGGGCAGCAGGATGAGGAGACACTTTCTCCTGTCTCTTCTACTAAACGACACACTGAGCCCACTTTTCCCAGTTTTCCTGGGCTTTGAGTGGAAGCTGGCTGGTGGTGAAGATGCTCTGGCCGCTGGCAATGCTGTTTAACAGCGGTACCAAAATTAGCCCCCATCCTGCCGACTCTTGGGAGCCCATGGGGGAGCAGTGCCAAGGCTTGTTTGGGGGGGCTATCAAGCTCACCCTGGTGTCCATCTGCCCTCAGATCTGTTCATTGAGAGGTTCTGTATGACAGGAGGGAACAGCCCCATCTGTTACCTCAAGGCCTATCACACCAACCTCTACCTCTCCTCTGATGCCGAGAAAGTGAGTGGGGCCATTGAAGAGGGTGAGTCTGGGGTCCAGCTTGGTGGGGGACAGCCGGGGGGGGACGGGACCTGGAGCCCTCAGGGGGTTGGTGCCAGGAGTGATAGCTCCAATGTCCGTGTGCCTATGCCAATGTGCAGCTAGGGTCTGCCTTGTCCCACATCCCATCCTTGATGATCCAAAAAGCCTGTAGTTTCCATAGGAATAAGGCTTTCCTCAAGCGCCACACCTCTTCCAAGGCAAAGGCACTATTTTTCCCTGTTAATTTTGTATGCAAAGGGAGGTTTTTCATCTGGGGATTTGTTTTTGCTGTAAAAGGTCTCGGGGCCAAGCTGCAGGCACTATTGGGTGCGTGTATTTCCTTGCACTGTTTGCTTCCAGCCCATTGTGTTTTGCTGTGCTCAACAGATGAGCCACGAGACTGGGTCCTTGGGTAACTGTCACCTCTTGCCTTCTGCTTTACGTCCACAGGGATCGCTGCAGCCACCATCTTCAGCCCCAGCAAAGACCTGGAGGTGTCAGAGAACCAGCTGCGGGTGGCATTTGACGGTGACGCCGTGCTCTTCTCTGATGAGTCAGAGCAGATCGTGAAGGCTCACGGCTTGGACATGTTCTTTGAGCACGAAAAGGCTCACGAGAACAAGCCTCTGGCACAGGTAGTGCTGGGGTGCAGCCAGAAAAAGCCTCTGGGAGAGAGACAGTCCACAGGGATGCTCTTGCCTCTGGGAACAAGCCAGGGATCGGCATATGGAGTGTGAAATGGGGTGGGTCAGCAGCCTGGTACGGCTGGATTTGGCCCATGGGATGGCTGCGGCCGGCCCCTCGCTGTCATTTCTGGGGGCTTACAGGGAGAGGGGATCAGCCAGCATGTCTGGCTCTGCTGGGACTGGGTGCCTGGAGATCTTGGGAGTGATGGTTTCTTCTCGCTTTGGCAGGGACCCCTGAAGGGCTTCCTGGAGGCCCTGGGGAAGCTGCAGAAGAAGTTCTATTCCAAGGGGCTGAGGATGGAGTGTCCCATTCGCACCTACCTGGTCACTGCCAGGAGCGCAGCCAGCTCGGGAGCCCGGGCCCTAAAGACTCTGCGCAGCTGGGGCCTGGAGACAGATGAGGCTTTGTTCCTGGCCGGGGCTCCCAAGGGACCGCTGCTGAAGAAGATCCGTCCTCACATTTTCTTTGATGACCAGATGTTCCACGTGGAGGGAGCCAAGGAGATGGGCACCATTGCTGCCCACGTCCCCTATGGCGTCGCCCAGAAGCACAAGCGGCCGGCGCAGGAGAAGCAAACCCCGAACAGCAAGTAGCAGAGCTGGCTACGTCCCGTGGCCCCTGGCGTGTTGCACAGGCTTCACCCCATGCACCACGCTCTGACCTGGGTCATGGTCTGCAAGGCAGAGAGCGTTTGCCACGGCAAGCGTGAGGTTATTCCCTGTCGGGAGCCTTGTCGAGGGCACGGATGGAGGAAGGGGCTGACGAAAGGCTCCCTTTCGCCTCTGTTTTCGTTGCAACATTGTGGTGTTGTCCCCGTGGGGCCAGAGGATCCCCTGTGCCGGGCAGCCCCGTGAGCCATTTCCCCATTCTTCTGCGCTTGCTTCAGGCAAAATCCTTCAAGGATGGATCTCGCCTTTTGTGGACTGTTTGTGCCAGGCAGGTTTAACCTATTGGTATTTCTTTAAAACCCTAGGTAATTTCCAAAGCCTTTGATTTCCAAAGCAAATGTTCAGGCTCAACTGTTGAACTGGAAAGTTGGGAGCACACAAAACCCCTTCTTGCACTTTGAAACAAAATCTTGTCCCTCTTAACTAAAATTACATCATAATACTTTTCCTTAACAGACCCAGCCCCTGCTCCTCAACCAGAAAATCTTTCATGTCTTTGTCCTTTCAGCAAGATTTTGTCAGCTGAACAGCTTTCCTTTCATGCACTAAAATTTGGAAAAAAAAGGAAACAAACACTTATATATTAAAAAAAAAAAAATCCTGTTTCCTGCTTGGAGCTTTGGGCTAGTGTACTGTTGGCCCAGGTTTTTAAATTTTGGTTTCACAGTTGCATGAGTTAGCACTTAAAAATAATAATCTCTGAGGCATCCAAAGTCCAGCTCTTGTGTGAGCCATCCAGGGTCCGCAGACACATGCCTAGGGCTTGAATTAAGTTAAAAGCAGGCCCTAATATATTAGGGACATAATTTGAAGTCCATTTAGGTAAATCTGCAGAGAATTTCAGCCTGGGGGGTTTAATTAAGGGATTTTTTTTCCCCCCCCTTTCTAGACTGAGCCCATATGAGTTGATAATCTTTTCCTCCTTAGCTTCTTAAAACCTCTGGTGTTTCCTAAAATAGACATCTCTGCTAGTGATGCTGTGAGAGAGAACCAAATCTCTGATTAAAAAACAGGAAATCAATTGAAGAGCTGCTCCAAAATCGGTGTGAAAATCACACTGACATTTCTGCACAAAGCCTTGTCCTGAGGGATGCTCTCAGGAGAAAAATTTAAAGATTACTTCTTTCTTTTGGGCTTCCTTCCTTCCTTCCTTCCTTCCTTCCTTCCTTCCTTCCTTCCTTCCTTCCTTCCTTCCTTCCTTCCTTCCTTCCTTCCTTCCTTCCTTCCTTCCTTCCTTCCTTCCTTCCTTCCTTCCTTCCTTCCTTCCTTCCTTCCTTCCTTCCTTCCTTCCTTCCTTCCTTTTCCTTCCTTCCTTCCTTCCTTCCTTCCTTCCTTCCTTCCTTCCTTCCTTCCTTCCTTGGCTAGGCACGAAGGATGCCTGGTGTTATCAGACAGCAGTTTTCTACAAACACCAACTCCATGGGCTGAAGTTTTCCGAGGTATGTGTCTGCCTCTGGCTTGACTTTGCAGGGAGGTTTCAGCTAAAACAGCTCAGCCCTTCCCGACAGTGAGGCTAGAGCTCAAGTTATCGCACTTTTGACAAATATATAAAAAAAAGCTAGTGACGCCTTCAGTGGCTTGGGAGACTGTTTTCTCATTGCACTAAATCCTGCTCTGGCAGTGAAAAGCAAATTG